ACTCTCACATAGGACTTGATAGAACTTCTCCCTTCAAACTTTATCCCCACAACAACCCCACAGCATTTCATTCTAGAGCTGAGGAAATGGAATAGATTCAAAGGGGTAAGTAACTTGTCCAAGACCAGCCAGCCACTAAAAAGCAGAACCAAAGTTCAAATTCACATCTACAGACTCCAAAGCCTCGACATTAGGCCTCTATCTTCCAGGAACACCCCAAATAATGCCCTCACCCAACTCACTGACTTGAGGGTGTCTGGACTCACTTCCATCTTGAAAGTGTTGGGAGTTACAGTCCCCCCCAATCAGGTCCTCTGCCTGGGGAAGACATTCATACCCACAAAAACACTCACCACACGAGCCCACTCCACAGCTCCATTAAGTCCTTTTTCAGTGGGGATGGGAGACAAATAAACACCAAAACAGATTCTCCCTGTAATGACAAATAGGCCATAGGGCCCTCCTGCCCCTCAGACCTTTCTCGGGGGGAGGGGTGAGCCCGTACACAAGGTAACTGGATGTGCTATAGGCTATTTGTGGGTTCCCTGACTCTCCTCATCTTCTCAGTGCATTGCCTGCATCTTTATTACTCAGGTTCTTCCTTTCCGCCAATTCATGGTTCCTCCCACGCTTTTGCCAACTGGAATAAAAGGGAAAGACAAACACCATCACCCGGGAGATTTTCAGAGCTCCGGTTCGGACGCCAGAGGAAGCTACAGACTGAGCTGAAGTTTGAGGATAATCTGTGTTTCAAATATCCATAACCATGCTCCCCAAGCTGGATAACTGGGCACCTCTACACCTGCTTTAAACTTCTTAGGTGTGCGTTATTCAGAGTAAGGAGTAAATGACTACTCTGGGCATGCAGCGGACGGTCTATGTTCATTTACGAAGAATGCTGTCCAAGACTTTGTCCCGCTCATTGTCTATTAACGATCCCCACATACATCTGTGCTGCTGGTGTCCTCGTCTTTGTTTCTGGTTTTCTAACAAGCGCAAAATCCCATTCTGAATATTTCAGCTCTACAGCTGACACCAATACCAGCCATTGTGAGATCTGCTTTCTCATGTAAGACAAAACTAGATGTTCGAGACCAGAATTGGGAATGGACAGAACTGCAGCCACGCGTCGCACTGTCACAGATGGGCCTGGGCAGACTTGGGCTATTTTTGGCAAGTCTGGAGGAGCAAAGGTTTAAGGCTGGAAGAGATTCGGGCAGAGCCCGTCCTGTGTGGACCACACAGCTAGTTTGTGACCTCGGTGGAAGCAATTCCATTACCTTTTGCTTTCGAGGGCCTCACCCTCTCTGAGGAGGCTCTCTGCAGCTTCACCTTTGGTGACCCCCAGAATTTTCTGGCAGCTGCTGGAACCAGGGATCATCTTTTCAGAAATCTGCTTGGCATCATTCCGTGACTTATCTTTCAGGCCTCATCACAATTATTCATGCTTTGGCAGTATCCTAGCTACAGTCACAGCACTGTTCTTGGGCTGCTACTGAGAGTTATTCTGGCCCAGCGGATGGATAAGGAAGATGCCTGTGGCCTCTGGACCTTGGTTTCAGGAAGCATGCTCCCAAGAGGGCAGGCCCGTCCAGGCATCTGTTCAGAAAGCCACTCTTAACCTCTAGCCCTGGCAAATAAGCAAATAGGTAGGAATAACAGGTCCCGATAACTGGTGCCCAAATCACAGACAATCTGGCTTTGGAATGCATTTCACGGCACATACTCAGCTCCTCACCTGGACACACATTCACACAAACTGCAGTGCTAACCCCCACCAGCTACTTCTGGGTTACACAAAGACCCAATCCTTTATCTTTCCATCATGTGTGGCAAATACTTTCTGATTTTACTTTTTTTTTTCTCTTTAACATCCTGCTTCTATTCTGTGGTCTGTGCTTCCTGCTTTGTATATTTTAGGCTACTTTAGACATGACCTCACATCCTGGCCAGTTGCACACTAGCAGCTAATTGCAAGAGCTTTGCTAATGGTCCATACATCTATGCATGAGGGGAATGGGTTACAAGCAGAATCCAAAAGGCAATATGCTAGCATGTCTATGAACTGGGGCTCTGGAAGCAGAGACACTTGAGTTTCAAGGTCAGAATTTCTCTGAGGCCTGGGGTAACTTACCCTCTCTGAGCCTCAATTTCCTCTTCTGAATGGGGCCCATATGAGTTCCTCCTTCACAGGGTCACTGCTAAGATGATTAATATTGAATACTGTACATAAATGACTTAGCACATTGCAAACTACCATTATTATTTAGCCTTCCAAAGTATGAGATGGTGTCTAGAGTTTACATATTCCTGAGATCCTATTAACTATTCTGTTCTACCTCTACCTTCCCAGTATTTCTTGATGAGCAGAATGTACATAATTAAGCTTTTCTTCCTCTGTTGTCTCATGTAGGTATTTACATTTTTTCAATTTATACCCTGAACTTTTCCAAGATTAAGAATCTTACTTTTCAGCATTATTTCAGGGAGCACTTAACCTTAGAGCAAAACCTCTATAAGCTGGTAGACCTTTAGGAAAAAAAAAAGAAAGTCCACCCTCCTCATCACACTTTTGTTTCCATGGGCTTGCAACACCTCACTTAGTTTCAACATTGCTTTCTTGTTTATGGCTCTTTTGCTCACAGTAACAAATCTGAACCCACTGGGAAAAAATACACAGTTAAGGGATCAAGAAGATGTGGTACATATACACCATGGAATATTACTCAGCATTCAAAAAAGATAAAAACATGCAATTTGCAGCAACATGGATGGCGCTGGAAGGGATCATGCTCAGCGAAATAAGCCAGAAAGAAAAAGAAAAATACCAGATGGTCTCACTCCTAGCAGGAATCTAGAAAACTTAAATAAGGGACCAGGAAAATGAACAACTATAAGAAAGTAAAAATCAAAATCAACAAAAAACTATGAACCAGAGACACTCTATGGGGGGTGGGGAGCAGGGAGGGGAGGGATTGGGGTCAAAATAAGGGGATTGCAATTGTATGGGGAATATAAAAATAAAATTTATTTTAAAAAAAATAAACATTAAAAAAAAAAAAAAGAAAGAAATATACAGTCAAGAAGCACCACGTTTCCCTCTCCAGAGAGTTACAAAATCCATGCCTTCCTTGTCTGCCAGGACATGGATCCACATTCTAGTTATTTCACATCACAGTACCTTCCAACATCTTTGGGGTGCCCGACTACCTCATCAGCACACCAGTGTATCTGTAGATCATTTTCCCACTCTGCTCTATTCTTTTAAGCCCCCTGTGGTCACACACAACCTCAATACTTGTTTTCTCCGTCTCTGTTCTCACTGACCAATTAGGCCTTCAGGCTTTGCTCCTGTTACTCCGAACTGTTGGGACTGCCAAAAAGTAGTCTCCCCTTGCAGGTCTTGGGATTTTCACGTGGAACTTTCCAGACCACCTGTACCTTCATGTTTCACATGCTGCTCTACTACATCATTTCCGCCTCTGCGGGTACCAGCACCTTATGGACGGCGATCATCTGTTTAAACTGAAACCCTGTCATTTGTTGTGGCAGTTTTACATATGCACCTGTGTACTGTAGCCCTGTGCCATAAATATTAAATAATATCTCTTGGGGGGAGAAAATCATTCATGTTAACTGACAAGTTCTTATGAAAATATAAGTAGACCCAAGCACAAAATTGGGAACGGGCGAATTTTAAAATACAAGGAAAAGCATGGATTGCTCAACAGGTAGATGCAAAAGCAGACTATAATTTGCATTTTTACACCCTCTTACTTCACGAAATGAAACACCCAAGAAGAAAAGCACATTAAAAGAAACTTGGGCAAGGTGGCAAATTTCTTTAGAATCAAATTCTAACTCCTGCCAGCATCTCCTAAGCAGTTTTTTAGCTTACAAGAAGAAAGACTCCAAATAATGCCACATAAATGAAAAGAATTGTGGGCCATTGACACTGCTCAAAAAAAAAATTTTTAGCATTCTGTGAATTTCCTATTACATCAGTTTCATGATTCAGCATTTTCCATTTCATTTATTTACAGTAATATATGGCGAGATAACCCAAGGTTTCTGCAGGATCCTGGAACATCAGGTTGGCTGGACAGGAAGGGTGTCACCTGCTGTAAACTGACTGTTGTTTAGCAGAATTCAAAGCAGAAGAAAGTCATCAAAGAAACTGAGAAATACTCTCCCACTTTGTTCTGAGGGTCTAAATTACTCTGGCATTTTAAATGACTTGGTTTTTGAAAAATAGGTTACTGCCATTTAGTTGATGACTAAAACAGAAGCCAAGAAGTGTGCACACTGGAGGCTGGCGTGCCCAAAAGCCAAACGCACGAAATGACTGTTCAAGACGTAGCGAAAGTCACCACTCTGGCGGTAGGCGTGTTACCAAGAACTAGATTTCTTCCTGGCAGCCGCAACTTGGCTGGAGTGACCACGCAAGAGTTGAGGAGCGCTGGAAACGCGAGGCTGGGCGCCGGGGACGCTGGCAGACCACGGTCCGGGCCACGAGAACCGGGTGGAAACTCAAAGCAGGGCAGAGGCAGGGAGCACCCCCGCGGGGAGAGAGGCGAAGTTGGGCACGGGAAGGAAACAAGCCGCAAGAAGATTCCGAGGGAAGCCCAGGACCGGGAGGGAGGGAGCCCGAGAGCCGTGCGCCGCGGGGTGGGGAGGGACGCGCGGCAGTGAGGTCCCCAGGTGGAGCCGGGGGGGCCCGAAGCGGGCCTGGGGGGCACCGGACCCGGGTCCGGAGCGAGTCTGGGAGCGAGAGGAAGGGACCCCAGCGAGAGCGCAGCGCGGCAAGTCCGGTCCACGCGCCCCTCTCCGCGCCCCGGTAACCATCCCAGGTGCCGGGAGCGCCCGGGGCGCAGCGGCGAGGAAGAGCGAAAACTCACCGCGCCGCACCCGCCCCGCGCGGCGGGGGATCCAGGCCGCCCCCACCCGCGCCCCCGGGGCCCCGCGCGCCCGGGAGGACCCGGGCAGGATCCCGCGCTCACCAGGTAGCAGAGCAGGAGCAGCGCGCAGGCAGGGCGCCCGCCGAGGCCCAGAGGGGTGCCGCCGCTCGGGGGGGCCATGGCTGCGGCCCGGGGCCCGACCGCGGGCGGCGGGGGCTGTCGCTGCTGCTGCCGCGGCCACCCGAGCCCCGCGCCGCGCCGCTGCATGGCGAGACCGCCGGATCCGGGCCGGAACAGGTCACCTGGTGCAGGGACCGGCCCCCGCCCGAGGCGCCACCTTCGCGCCCGCCCCCGGCCGGGCCGGCCGCCGCGCGCGGGGCCACCTGCCGCCGCCGCCCGACCCGCCGCGCCGCCACTGCCGCGCGCGCCGCCCCCGCAGCCCCAGCCCGGCGCCGGCTCCTCCCCGCCTCCCAGCCCCGTCCCCTCCCGCCCCTGCGCGCTGCCCAGCCCGCCTCCGGGCGGCTCCGCGCGGCCCCGGGCTGCCGCCCCTGGGGGCGACCGGCGCCCGCGCGGGTTCCCAGCGGCCCAGGTCCCGCCCCCGGCCGCCGCCCCCCGCCCGGCCGGCTCCCCGCGCGCCCCCGGCCCGGCCTTCCGTGCGCGCCCCTCCCCGCGCCCCGCTTCGTCCACTCTCACCTCTCGCTCACCCCCTCTTTTTCCCCACTTTGTCCCTGCCCTGGCTCCCCCTCCTCGTCTCGTGCCACCCGCCCCCCGCAGCCGGCGCCCCCACCCGCTCCGTGCGCCGGCCGCGCAGCCCAGTTCCCGCCCGGGCAATGGGTTTTTGTTCGGCTGCTGTTTGGCGAGGGCGCCATTCCCGCCGGACGCGCGGCGAGGGTGCCCCCTGGAGAGGCGCCGCGCGGCGGCCCAGCTTCCTGCTCCTCCGCGTGGATTTTGACCCCGGCCAACCTCCACCTGTCCACCTGCTGGGGTGGAGCGGCCTCTCCGCCCGCACATTTCGGCCCGGGTTGCGCCCCGCCCTGCGGACTGGCTCGCCGCACGTTCTGGATGTTTCCCCAGGGTTTTGTGCCTTGGCGCGGCTGCCTCTGTGCTCTTTGTTTTAATTATCCGGAATGTAGGCGCCCAAAGCGGGCTTGTGTTTGATTTTTCGCGTCCTGATGCCCTGACTCCCACTCTGGACGCAAATGAAAATGAATTAAATAGACCAACACAAGGGCACTCAAGCCCCCAAAGAAAGGGGCAAGGCTGTGGGACTGCACGCAGCTTTAAAAAAATAAATAAATCTGGGCACATCTTTGGCTTTGGGGACACAGATTGGGCTTGGCTGCTTCCAGACCTGGGGTCTGCTGCCAGGCGGGCAGGACCTCCACCTTCCCCCTGGCCAGGACTTTGGGGAGGGCATGGCTTTGTGTAGTGGCTGGACAGCTGCCCAGGACCCCAGCTGCTCCTCTCAAACAGTTAATCCACCCCTCAAAGTTCACACAAGCATCCCTTTGGCACTGGTGGGGTTGTGGAACTGATAATAATAGATTGGGCATCTGGGAGGACGCAGTCCTCTCGCTGTGGATGTGCCACACTGGTAGGGCAAGTCATGGCAGCTGTCAGAGCGGGTGGTGGTGAAGATGGGATGCCCAGGCTTGGCAGAGACCTGCTTTGGGAACCCCTGTGTCGGGATCTGCCCTCAGTCATCTCCGAGCCCGCCATGCTCAGCAGCTCAGCTGAGTCATCCTGTCCTGTTTTTAGGTCACCTGAGGGCTGTGGTACTGGGCGAGGCTCTTGGCCCTTGAGTGACTTGCTGCAAGGTAGTGCCTCCTATTAGTGGTTCTCCAACTTATGCCTGCATCCGGGTCAGCAGGACACATCTCTGGACAATCCCCCCAGAATTACAGACTCAGCATGTCCTGTGTGAGGCTTGGGAAGCTAGCTGCCTTTTAAACAAGCTGTCTAGTGCTGCTGCTCATCCACAGACCCCAATTCCAGAGCCGTCCGCTATTAGGAAAGGGCCACTTCTGCTCCTCTGTCATCCAGCATCTGTCACATTAAAGGATTTGAGGGTGTCTTTGTTTGACATATGTCCCCACTACCCCTGTCCCACTTCCACAGACCCAAAGCACTTAAAACTTTCCTGTCTGATGTGGAAAAACCATTTATTCTATCACGTGTCCAAGAGGATGAAAGATCTGGTGGCTTTGTCCCAGATCTTGTCCATATTTTTTCTGTTAGGTCAAAGTATAGACGATACTTTTTAATGTATGTGGAAAGAAAATTGCTGGCCAGTTCTGGAAGATGGGATTCCACATTACTTCTGGGGTCTCCACTTGTCTCCCTGGGCCTTTCTCTGGAGTTTCTCTCTTCCTTCATTGTACACAGATGCAGTGGGTCTTCGGGGAACTAAATGGTTCCCTCATGTTGTTTGTAATAATCAGGATTCATGGACTCAAAAGAGTTTTCAAAGCCCTGTGAGCTTTAAGTGTTTGAATTTACCTCACCATTGTTAAGGTGGAGGCGCTCCTGTGGAAACTGCACTATTTTTAACCCCCAAATCCAATGTCTTACTTAGTAATTGTCTGCTGCGGTCCTACTGTGTGTCAGGCACCACCAAGGCCCTAGAATGCAGACCATTTTCATGAGAACCAGCAGGGCTGCAGGTAATGGACCAAAACACAAGTTGTTCCTCAAAAAGAAACATTCGAGTTGCTCATTATTGCAAGGCCTGGGAGGAAGGATTGACCCATTCTGTCTAGAAAGAGGCCAACATTTCCCTCCTCAGTGAAATGTGATACTTTGTTTTTCTTTTAAAGATTTATTTATTTATTTATTTATACAAGAACCAGGGTGCAGGCCAGATGCGAGGGAGGGTGAGAGGATTCGCCAGAGACAGAGCAGGGAGCAGAACAGGCACATTTATGAAATACACTGCTGAGGGGAGCAGCAGGCAAGACAGGAGAGGTCTGCTGCGCCATGTGGGACCCTCGCCGGCTGGTGGGGATCGAACCCGCTCTGCAGAGACTGAGGACAGCTTCACAGTGCGGCATTCAACCACCCGCGCCACCAGGGAGGCCCAGAAATGTGATCCAGAAGATAGAACCTGTTGTGGCCCTGACCTTCTCTGTAGCCATTTGTGGAGTAATTCCAAGAGTGGGGACTATTTCAAGACCAGCCCCTTGATTTCGAAACATCACTCTTTGCCATTGCCCTGTGATTGGTTTGAACTGATTGATTGGCTTGAATTAGGCTTCAGTACTCCACTACAATGTGAAGGCTCCTGGAGAGAGTGTCACTCTTAACCATCAGAGTGAATCAGTTTTCCATTGCCCCTCTAACAAGGCAGGGGGGTGGGGGGTGGGGGTGGGGAGGGGCGCGGACCACTCACTTCAACAAGAAGGACAACGGCAAGGTCTGGTGAAGGAGGTGGGCTCACCCATGGGAGCAGCACCCAGAGGCCTGGAAGGGGCTGGAGAGAGAAGGTAGCATCTGAACCAAATGTGCTTGTCTTGGTGGGCCGGGCATGACCCGAAATGATTGAAAATCAGTTAAATCTCAGTTTGCTGCTGTGTACTCGCCAGCTAAAAATACTGAAAAGAAACAAAAGTAACCCCCATATGCCATCTTCTAGCAACATTATCTCATTTAAAAGACAGGATTTCACCAGCAAAAACAAACAAACAAACAAAAACACAAAACAAAAACTAGGAAGGACTTAACATCATCAGTCTTTAACTGATTATTGGGAGTGAAAAACTCCCAACTTGATCCCCTTTTTCTGCAGACCTGCAGAAACTTCCCTTCAGCATGGTGCTCTCTACCTAGCACCTGAAACCATATTTCGAAGCACTAAGGATGCAGCAGGAAGAGCGATCTATCCCTCTGGTTATAAGGGGAATGGACACTGTAGGAGTGAAGAACGGTCCTTCTGCACCCACCCCTCTAAACCCTTGGGGTCCAGATAGATGCTCCCAGCCCTAGGGAACCTTCCTCATGACCTTGGGTCAAAAAGCAATTGGCCATTCTCTCTGCCTTCTCCTAACAAGGCCTGTAGCCCCACGTGGCGATTGGCTGAGGCCGCTTTACATGGTAGACCAGTTCTCCTTAAATAGGCTGGAGCTTCTTGAAAGCAGGAGCTGTTTCTCCATCAGCTCTGTGTGTGCCGTCATGCCTCCTTATAGAGAAAGTGCATAGACATTCACTAAGTAAGAGAAAACATTTGGGGCCTCCCCTGGTGGCGCAGTGGTTGAGCGCTGGGTTGCAAAGCTGCCCGCAGCCTCTGCAGCACCGGTTCGATCCCCGGCCACCGGCGAGGGTCCCACATGGCGTGCAGACTTCTCCTGCTGCGTCCACTGCTCCCCTCAGCAGTGTATTTCATCAGTCTGCCTGTTCTGCTCCCTGCTCTGGCTCTGGTGAATTCTCTCACCCTCCCGCGCTTCTGACTGTACCCAGTGCTTGTATAAATAAATAAATAATTCTTTTAAAAAAAAAAAAGAGAAAACATTTGCCTTGGGCCTCCCAGGTGGTGCAGCGGTTGAGCGCTGGGCTGCCTCTGCAGCGCCGGTTCAATCCCCGGCCACAGGCGAGGGTCCCACATGGCGCGCAGACCTCTCCTGCCGCCCGCTGCTCCCCTCAGCAGTGTCTTTGCTCCATCTGCCTGTTCTGCTCCCCGCTCTGGCTCTGGTGAATTCTCTCACCCTCCCGTGCTTCTGACTGTACCCAGTGCTTGTATAAATAAATAAATAAATCTTTTTAAAAAAATTTTGTCTTTCCAGCCTCTATTTCCTGTCTTTCTTCCTTCTTATCTTCCTGCCTTCTTTTCCTTTTTTATCCCCTGTGATCATCTCCATCTTGTCCATCAGAGCACAGCTTTCCCCACCGTCAGGTCCTCTGGAATTTCAGAATCTTTCTCCCCTCTTCTCCTTCTTCCTTTCCTTTTGCAATTTCAGATAATCAGAATAAAGATGCATGAACCATGACATTCGCCTTTCATCTCAAAATAAAGGAGAAGAAAATAAAAATAGCAGAGAAGATCACTGTCAGACCACACCATCCCCATCTCGGTGACGGGGAAACCATGCTCTTTTTTCCTGCCAAGAAACTGCTCAGAACTTCCATTTTTCTCATGACCCCAGGGCTTTATCTTCTGTGAATCCATTTCCTATCTCTGTTCTTCCTGCTCTGTGTTCTCTGTTGTTACCAATTACTTCCCTCCTCATCTCCCTGTCCCTGGACTCCCATCTTTTGAGCCTCAAGTCTCTGATTCT